GGCGGCGGGGGAGGGTGGGCCTCCCCGCGAGCGGCGAGGCCACGCGTGGGCGGGCGGAGGCCCGTCACGTGGCGTGGAGCGCCACCTCCCCCCGCCCCCCGCTGGCGGCGGCCATGGCGGCCAAGCGGGGCACCGACGAGATGCGTGACCGCGTGGTGCTGGGCGAGTTCGGCGTCCGCAACGTGAGTGGGGCGCGGCGGGACGGCGGGGGGCTCCCGGCCCCGGCCCCGGCCCCCCTCACGGCCCCGCCTGTCTGCCTCCTCGCAGGTCCACACCACCGACTTCCCCGGCAACTACCCCGGCTACGAGGACGCCTGGGACCGGCGGCGGTTCGAGGAGGTGGGTGAGCGCCGCAGGCGGCTGGGGCGGTTGGGGGGGCGGGGGCGTTCGGGTCCGGCGCGCGGCGCCCGGCGTGACCCGCGGCGCGTGGCCCGTGCAGGCGTTCCGCGTGGACATAATCCGTGAGGAGGAGGGCGCGCTGGAGTTCGACATGGTGGGCATCGACGCCGCCATCGCCAACGCCTTCCGCCGCATCCTGCTCGCCGAGGTACCGCCGAGGGCGGCCGGGGGGGCGGGGGCAGGGACCGAGGCTCGCCGGGGCGGTGCGGGGAGCTGTAGGGAAGGTCTGGGGGCGCCGGCCTAGGAGCGGGGGGGACCCCGCCTTACGTCAGCCCGTGCGGACGGCTTCTGGGGTTGGAAGAGAAGCGCAAATCCGTTCTGCACGTGTGCCGCGAGCCCAAAGAGAGTTAGGGCCTTAGCAGCACGAGCGATAGCGCTTGTTGCTCTTAAGAGTGCTGTTGGTAGTGTCTGTGGATCAACCTGCCCTTCATCTCTTGTGATCGTTTGTTTAAAAAAAATAAAAACAAAGCGGGAAGGGGTACATTGGCTGTGAGAGTGTATTGGGTAGCCTGGTTTGGCAGAAATACTACTGAAAATAGTCTGCAGGGCAATTATTTATGGGAGAGAACGGACACTCTAGCTGGATATTCTGTTAGCATGTATTTCAACTGTCAACTTATGCTGACTTGATCTCTTGTCTCCCTGAGGTGCCAACGATGGCTGTAGAGAAAGTCTTTGTGTACAACAACACATCCATTGTGCAGGATGAAATTCTGGCTCATCGCTTGGGCCTCATCCCTATCCGAGCTGACCCTCGACTCTTCGAATATAGAAACCAAGGTGAGAGTCTTGGATCAAACAGAAATATTGAAGGTTTCTCCCAGAGCAGGAAATCAGGGTCACATTAACTGAGCAGAAGTATGTTTCCATAGAGGCTCATGCCATTCTCCCCTTCCCAGGAGATGAAGAAGGCACAGAAATTGATACTCTGCAGTTCCAGCTGAAAATAAAATGCAGTCGAAACCCTCAGGCAGCCAAGGAATCATCTGATCCTAATGAACTATATTTCAATCACAAAGGTGAGATCTCTCCTAAAAATAGGTGCTGTGTTTTTCTCAGGCCTGCGTGCAGAGAGAGCCGATTCCCTCATTCTGCTAAACTTACTTTTTGCTATCTCCAGTCTTGTACAGGTCAGCGACCTGTTTTGAGACAGTAGCTGGCTGATGCTTGTGACTTTTCTTCGCAGTGTACAGTAAACATATGACATGGGTGCCCTTGGGGAATCAGACAGACCTCTTTCCAGATGCTGACTTCCGACCTGTTCATGATGACATCCTCATTGCACTGTTGCGACCTGGCCAGGAAATAGATGTTCTTATGCACTGTGTCAAGGGTATAGGTGAGTTGTGGGTCCTGGGGCAGCAGGAGGAGGAGTGTGAGTGCTTGGAGTAGGGCACAGCTGTGTGAAGGGGAAGGGTGGAGAGCTGGCTTTCCCCCTGGAACTTTAAGTCCCGGCATTCTGGCACTCTTGTTCCCTGAGGCCTGCCCTCATTCTTGATTCTTAACTCTTCATTCAGGTAAAGATCATGCCAAGTTTTCTCCTGTGGCCACAGCTAGTTATCGACTGCTTCCTGACATCACTCTCCTGCAGCCTATTGAGGATGAGGCAGCTGAGATGTTGCAGAAGTGCTTTTCCCCTGGAGTCATTGAGATCCAGAATATCAAGGGTACTTTTTTCCTGCTCTAAGTGCCTTGTTCCTTACAAGCCTTAGCAGAGACTGATTAGAGAATAGAGCCAAACCTTGCAGAGGCAAAACCATGTTGTGGTGTTGCCTTGCCAATCAGCAGCTGGTCATGCTATGCTGAGCCTGGTTTTATAGATGAGCAGCTGTCACATGCAGATGTGTTGGGTGATGAACTGGGATCTCCCTGAAATCTAAGGCATTGGGTGCCTGTCTGCAGGGCTCTGCAGCTGCTGACTGCAGCTTCCAGTGCTGTTGTCTGCAGGACTGGGTAGTGAGCTTGCTCTTTCCAGCAGCTCTGTGTGGAGAAGACTTCTTGTGTCCTGCCCAGGGGTACATACAAGCTTTGTGTTTGGGTTGGAACTGTTCAAGAAGACCAGTTCTGTCAGGTTGGAGTTTCATGTTGGGGGTGTGCTAATTCTTTATATTGGTGGCTTCGCTGCCTTTGCTGATGAGGGAGTGCATGTTTGAGTCAGCGTAAGTACTCGCTGTGACCACAAAGCACCCATCTGCTGCAGGTGCCCGTCTCGTTTCATCTTTTTCCCCTTTAGGTAAAAAGGTGGCAAGAGTAGCCAATGCACGGTTGGACACGTTCAGCAGAGAAGTTTTCCGTCACGAGGGTCTGAAAAACCTCGTGCGCCTGGCAAGAGTACGAAACCATTACATCTGTGAGTGCTCCATTTTCCACAGAACATAGAGCCCTGCTGTGGTTTGTGCAAACAAGCAGAGACTGACCAGCGTGTATAGCTGGGTCTCTGCCTCCCCCTTTTTCCCCACATCATCAGCATTCATACATTCATATTCCAGTGGGTAACTACTGAGGTTGTGGTTTGGTGTTGCTTTGGGATTGAATGTGTTTGTGCTTCCTGCCGGCAAATGTAACCTTTTCTCTGGTTGTGAAGATCTGGCTTGTCAGAAGTGTGTAAAGGAAGACGAGGGACGGAGGTCCTGGAGCCAGGTGTCGGCTGAAGCTGCATAGCAGCTGTGCTGACTTGTGTCTCTGTGCAGTTTCAGTGGAGTCAACGGGTATCTTGCCTCCAGATGTGCTGGTGAGCGAAGCCATCAAGATCCTGATGGGAAAGTGTCAGCGCTTCTTGAATGAGCTGGACTCTGTGCCTATGGAGTGACCAGGCTGTAGCTGGGAAGCATATCCCTGCACTGCTGTTCTGGCCTTCTTGTACCTGCCTGCAGGGGTGATTCCTCTTCCATAGGCAAGAGGTTTGAGATGGGCTTGTGAAGAGTCCTAGGACCATGTCTTTGAATTTGTTTTCTGTTGGTAATGAGCCTCAGTGAGGAGATGCGCTAAAATAAAGGCTTTGCTTTACATCTGTTTCCTTCTGTGCTGTTCACAATTGTGAGACCATAATACGCAGAGAAGAAAGTGGCAGCAGGTCTAAAGATGAATAATAGCATTTATTTTAGATTGTATGCAGTGTGTGAAGAAGACTGGTATGGCAGCATAGTAAAGCACTTCACAGCAGGTCAGTGAGATTTAACAAGTCAGTGTCAGCACAGGACTATTTTGCAGGTGTCTCAAAGCAGCTTGGGGGTAGTTAATGTGGTAAATGAAAGGCTGTACTGTCAGAGGGCTGGGACACCTCTCCTATGAAGAAAGGCTGAGAGTTGGGGTTGTTCAGCCTGGAGAAGAGAAGGCTCTGGGGACACCTTATTGTGGCCTTTCAATATGAAGAAGGGGCATGGAGAAAGACTTTTTACCAGAGCCTGTAGTGACAGGGCATGGGTTTATATACTGAGAGAGGGTAGACTTAGATAGGACATAAGACGGTTTTTACAATGAAGGTGGTGGCAAGATGCTAGAACTGGTTGCCCAGAGAAGTTGTGGATGCCCGTTCCCTGGAAGTGTTGAAGGTCAGGTTGGACTGGGCTTTGAGCAAGCTCATCTAGTGAAAGATGTCCCTGCCCATGGCAGGGGCATGTAGACTAGATGATCTTTGGTCTCTTCCAGCCCAAACGATTCTATGATACAGTACTGGGCTTTTCTGTGCAAAGGTGGGGTTTAAAAACATTCCCTGTCAGGACGGACTGTCCCTTCTTAAATATCTTAAGGTAAGGCATTTCTTCCCAGGGGTTAGATTTGACTACTCTGTTCTCCCTTTTGGTGACTGACTGTACTTTGGGCTGACCCTGGAGCAGAACTGAATGGTGGAGGGCAAGTGACAGTCAAAGGCTTGTCTCCACCCAGGGAAGCCTGGGAGAACCGGCAAGTTAGTCTCAGTGGTGAGCACTACTGTTAGTCGGCACTGGGTAGGTCTTAGCTTGTGAAAGTCTCTCTTGACAAGCTGATGAAGGAACTGGAACTTGTGGGGAGTATGGGTATGGCTCAGTTGCTTACGTCAATCCTCACTACAAGGTTAGAATTTAGTGTAGCAAATCATACTTTTTCTCTACCTGTTTCACTGGATATAGTTATACTGTAAACATCCTAACAGGTGTTCGGTTGGATATACTGTAGAGAAGAGGTATGCTTGGCATCCTCCTACAATCCCAACCTGTCCCATGTCACTATAGTGTTGCAAACCCATGCCCTGCTTCTAGATTTTTTTTCAAGACAGCTAGTAATTGGTTGCTGGGGAAACTGGCTGCTTCCCTGTAAGGGCTGTTCTGGGAGCTGTCAGTGTTTCACAGCTGTGCTTGCTGACTCCTGCACCTCCTCTTTCAGCAGGCTTGCAGGGACCTTGGCTGCTGACCTCTTCCCACAGGGTCTCATTCATCCACTTACCCTTAGAAGGGAATGTTGGGAACCCAAGAGCTAGGCTGAAGTCCTGTAGTCTGTACCTCCTGGTTTAGAGCTCCCACCAGCCTTAGCCAAGATACCTCCCCAGGGCTTTTTGCTTGCTTGAAACTTAGGACAGCTCAGCTGTGCAGTACATGCCTCACCTGTATGAGGAACACAGGGTGTAGTCCCAGTGCCAGCATAAGCACAGAAAAGCTCCTCTTCCTCTCGACCGTGGCTAGTTCCTAATCAACACCATTTAGGTATCAACTCCATTTAAAAGATGGCGATTCCTAGCTGGATCCTTTCAATTTTAACAAGCTAAAGCAGCTTCCTTGCTGAGCTGGATTACAGCTGGGGCCTTGGAAAAATGTTTTGTAACAAAACTTACATTGACTTTGTTCAGGCCCACCTCTTTGAGGGCTTCTGCTTTTGTTGCAAGAGAGACCTTTCACACAATCTTCATCACGTGAGGGGAGAGACCAAAGGCAATCGCTACATCACCTTCCTATGTTACTGAAAAGGGCAGCTGAGAGAGTATGGCTAAACTACAGCACTATCACAAGACATTGCACCTCTCAGCAATAGCTAGGGTTGGGCGTGGAGGCTACTTCAGTAGTGTATGGACCTTTTCGCGCTATTGCTTCACATATTTCCCATACTGCTTATGGGACATACATACCCTGGCATAGCCATGCCAAAGGGTTTTGCTTTGGCAACATGTACCCTTCAAGCTGTAAACTGGGACCTAGCGGCTGTTGTGGAATTAATATAAAGCAGCTGTGAATGACATATAAATACTTCAAAATTCAATTCTCCCCTTGGCTTCTAATTTAATTGTGTAGTTTGGAATGGTTCTTTCCCTCCCTGATAATGTATGTTGACTACCAGCAAAGGTGCTCCCTTTTTGGTAGCTGGAATAAGGAGTGCTGAACAATCCTTAGGAGGGCAGTCTGGGCAGAGCAGAGGCCTCAGATCTGACTGAAACAGATAAAGAATAAAAATGAAACATGACACCATGTGTATGAAACTGGAATAGCTTTACTGACATTCAGAGGTGTAACACAACCAGTTCAGAGACAGCTTCAGATTTAAACATTCCTACAAAAAATGTTCTAAAAACCATTTAAAAAAACCCCCTTGTGTCTAGCATGAAGTCACAGAATGTTAAAAATATGACAACACAATAAATACACCCAGCCTTTGCTAGAGCCAGCAGCCATGTTAGCTCAGAGGTTAAAAAAGTTTGAGGCCAGGAGGAAAGTGGAGGGTGCTAGTGGAACAGCAGGGGCAGGAGGCTGAGTGGATTCCCAAGGCCTGCTCTTCCTTTCTGCACTCCCACCCCTCCCAACCCCAGCTTTTCTGTCCAGTCTGTCCAAGTGGAGACACAACCTTCTCCACCCACCACAGTTTATTACTTGTTCTGCCTCCTGGATGGCAAAACTGCCAGCTAGCTCTGGACAGACCCTCTCAGCTCCTGTGCTAGCGCTAGGATAGATTGAGTGAACCATTTGTCATGTAAGAAGAACCAGCTTTGCAGACTGGAGTGGCTTGATAAGAGTCCCACCTCATCTAAAACCCAATTTCTGACTTGGCTGCCCCTGTAAACTGCAGTATAAATCCCACTCCTCCTGCCCCACCATGCAAGTCTCCAAGAAGTACCAGACTGGGTAAAAACACAGGCTACTGTCACCTCCACAGCAACAGGGTGAGGAGATCCCCTTTGGTTTGCAGGTGCTTCAGATATTGGTCCAGATTTTGTGTACCCTGCACTGGCCATGTTCTAGTCTACAGGGCATGGTAAAAAGAAAAAATAATTAAAAAAATCTGTCCTGCTCCCCCTGAGAGATGTCCAAGAAAGGCTGGCACAAAGTAAAAGCCTTCCATTTGGCTCTGGATAGAACAAGCTGTACGATCATGTATATATACATACATATATGTATATATATGTATGACAGTGTCTGCTTCTTTCTAGAGAGCAGCTGCACCTTAGAAAGGCTGATCTCAAGGGAGATCCTAGAGCACTGCTAGGCTTCCTGGCACACAGCCCTCAGCCCAAGGCTCAGCATCCTGGAGGGAAACGGATTCATGAGAATACCAGTCCACTAGGGACAAGTGCTGACAGGCATGACAGGAGTGTCTGATGTGTTCCCTACAAAGCCTGGCTACTAGCACCCAGAGGAAGATTAGGGTAGCCCCTTTTCACATGGTGCACTACTCTGCCTTTTGCATTAATCTTAAACCCCAAGGGATGAAGAGGTGGAGCAAGAGTGACCCAAGGCTACAGGATGACCAGGCTTTACCTAATGGAGTCTATGGGCTCAGCTCCCACCTTGCAGAGAAGCAGAGGTCTAAAGATGTTCATCCAATGGAGGGGAGGGGAAGGAATCAGGGAAAGCTTAATAGACTGGTTTAAATGCCACCACAGGCCCCATCCCAGTGTAGGGAGGAGCATGGGACATGACCCATAAGGGGCTTTATTCAGACAAATGCTTGTGGAGGCGATGACAAGGAGAATCTAATGTGCTTACTATGAGGAGAGACAAAATATAAGGTAGGGGAGGAGATGGTTGCAGCATCCCAGGCTCAGGGCTCAAAGAGTGCAGTGAGGCCCTCTCCATCCTCATTTTCTAGCACATCCGTTTCCAATGATGGCTTCACCTTTTTGAAGAGAGATGGGAGGTTCCGGATATGAACCTCCTTGCGGAACTGCTCCCCGAGGGGCTTCTGCAGAGGACAGACAGGCAGGCATCAGTCATTACTGCCTTCATGCCCCCACCTGGCTCAGGGGCAGCCTGCTTGCAGATCAGAGGCAGACCCCAGATTCTGAGCAATCCCTAGGCCTGGACCCTATGCTTGCATATTGGGGAATCTCAGGCCTGGTCCTTCCCAAGTGCCAAGGCACTGAGGTAATCACCAGTGCACCAGCTCCCCAGCTTCTAATTCAGTGCCACCAGGCTCCAACGCCACCATCCTCACAAAAGCCCAGCACCCACCTAGCAGCTTCATTCAAACATTTTAACACCCTGTTCCTCCAAGGCACCCTTGGGCAAGGTACCCCCTGCCTCTCAGTTAAGTCATTGCTGGAGGGGCTGCTCAGTCTGTGCTGCCATCCCCACTGTAGCTCCAAGCTGAAGACAGACAGAACAAACACTGAGAACATGCTGCAACAGCCTCCTGTCTGGGAAGGGAGGCAGTGGGGGAGAGGCAGGCAGCCTGGCTGCCCCATCACTTCAGCAGGGTATGGGTGTGAAATGAAACAGGTTCATTTTCCTCCAGGATATCACTTACCCCAATGCAACCTGTGATGAGGCGCTTGAAATGATCCTTCCGGCGCTTGTCTGCCACCTTCTGCAGTGTTGGGTTCAGAAGCTTTGAATCAAACTGCTCCAAAGAGTCCCTCTGGATGTCTGGGATCTGCTCCATCACTGCCTTCAGCTCAGCGTAGCGAGGGCGCTGCAGGGAGAAGTACAGTTAACGCAGCTCTGCTAGAGGAGCAGCCCTGCCCTCCTCGGGGGACACTGGCTCCTCTGCCCGTACCAAGGGGGGCATGGGATTAGTTTTCCACCACTCCCCAGCCAACCTCGCTAGATA